GCTGGGCCTCAGAAAAGCTTTGCCAGATCCAAGTTTCCTGATGCTCAGATCTGTGCTCCAGTGCACTATGAAGGAACTTTCTCAATACCATTCAGCTGCAAGAAATTACCTTATTTTTATAAATATACCATTTGTAAAACAGTAATGTTTCTGTTTATAGAAGAGTAACCCAAAATGAAGTCACTGAATAACATTAACTGTTAAGAATTAGATTGATTCAAATTTGCCATCAGTGTCACATGTGTAGTTACATTCCCAAACACTGTAAGGTAGAGGGAAGGCATTATTTCTGGAGATAATTTATTTTAAGCTAATAGGATGATTTCATTATTTGCTGTAAGTTCATCTTCTTGTTTTGAGGTGTATTTTTCTCACAATGATTTTAAAAGAAAATATAAAATTGCCTGTCATTAAAACAACTTTTTAAATAATACAGTGTGTCATGTATTTTTACATTATGCATTTAGAGAATTTAGAATGGCCATATACCAACATGTAGAGTGCGGTAATAGGGATTTCTTGATGCTAGAAGCATACATAAGTACAACAGTCACTATCTTTATCCTTTCTGAGCAAGCACCCAAAACAGCTTTAGACATTTTTTCCCAGACAGTCAGAAGAAAAATATGTGCCGAGACTTTAACACATTTAAGAAAAGACCAAATGTGTTTATTGCTGCTTGTAATAATTTATATTTGGTAAGAATCACAGAATATTAGAACTGTAAAGGGATATTAGAACTGTAAAGGGATATTAGAATCATCCAGTCCAGCCAGCCTTCTCATTTCACAGGTGAGAAAACAGAGACAGGCAAAATGACTTACCCAAGCTCACATGACAAAAGTAATGGTGGAGCTAGGTTTTCAATTTCTTAATTCTGGGCTTTTTCCCTTACATTCATTAGTGTACTAGTGAGCATTCTTATGGTGTATCAATTACATCCTTGAATTTAAGAGTCTAACGTTTATAGAATAAAATAGTGAAAAGTTAATCTTTACTTCTAACAGTAAATAATGAATAACAGGAAAGGTTACCTGTTCTTAGTTTTTACATCAAGGATTGGCTTATTAGGGATATATACACCATTGCTTTCTTAAAGTAAATATATGTTTAAAGGGACTTTTGACATGAGAATTTAACATTAGATTTTTTTTGTACTAAAGCTCAGTGTAATAAAACCTAGAACTGATAGGTCTCATTTTCTATAAACATTTTTTAGATCATTAGTTTATAAATATGTGGATAATCATTTCTTCTAAAATTGGTGATATCAGATAGCCACTTAAAATTTAGGACACATGTAAAATACTCCACAGTATTCTGTACTTTTAATTGTACATCTCATCAGTTAAAAAAAAAAAAAATCCATGCACCTCAGTTATGTTTATTTGTAAGTTATATATACAAACTACTATACTGGTAAATTATATACATTAAAAACATATATAAAACACAATTTTTCAGACGATATAAAACATAAAAGGTCTAATATTTTCTTTCTATACCCAGTGGATCATTTTGTACACATCTTTCCTTTGGAAATCAAAGGATATGGGGATATTAGTAATGACAGTTATTTACCTAATTTAATGGTACTCTCGCCTGTTACTACTGAGAGCTAAACAGTATTTAAAATGATTCTGGAACTGTATAATGTATTAAAGCACTTTCATGAAGGTCTTTGGAATGATAGCTTTAAGAAGCTCTACAAAAATATATTATCAAATCAATTAATATTTATTCAGCATCTGCAAATGAGATACAATATCTTTCTACCAGAAGTTTATAATCTAGTTGGAAGGCATTTTATTTAGATATGTGTATAAATGCTGTATGTACATATAAAGATACTGATAATTCAAGAAGGAATATAAGACATACTGTAAGGATATTACCAAGTATAGAGGTAGTCATGGAGAGGAGCAGTCACTTCAAGCCTGAGGGAGTAAACAAGGGTTTCACTTAGGAGCTACAGTTTTGTCTGAGCCTTATAATTCGAATAGGCAGGAAACACAGAAAATATTTAGGAGACAGTGAGTGAATTTCTTTTATTGGAGCAGATATTTTTCATGAAGGAAATTAGTGGAAGAAAAGCAAGAGAAGTGGCTTTGTTCTTTTGAGAGGGACATTATTCAATACCCAGTCTAAGCGATTTGGACTTTTTCAGTTTACATTGTGGAACTGCTGAGCAGAAGTGTGATGTGATCAAAATGGTTACTTAAGAAGATGAATCTTTGGCAGTGTGTATTTTGATGGAGAGAGAAATTAGAGAGACCAGTTGGCAGCATGATTTTTTTTTTTTTTTTTTAGCAAGAGCTAACATTTGAATACTAACCTTGTGCCAGGCACTATTCTAAGCACTTTTCAAGTATTAAACTCTATGCAGTAATTACTGTTCTTATCCCTGTCTTTCAGACGAGGAGACAGAGGCACAGAGCAATCCCTTTTCCTCCTCCTTCCCTAAGGTCACAGAGCTGGTAACCCCAGAAGTCTCTATTCTTGTAGCTGCTGCCATAGATAATTTGCATCTAAGTTAGCATTCTGGCTCTGAATAGAAATGAGGAGCATGTACATGAGAGGCTGAAAAGGGAAATGGATAGAACTCATTTGACTAGATGTATGGGGCAAGAGGGAAGTGTCAAAGATAAGCCAAGCTAATTCTGAAGTAGATAGTAGCATACATCAAAATAGAAACAGCAAAAGGGGATATTAACCCCTTGATCCATCAATTTTATACAAATTTACCCTAAGGATATAATCATAGATGTACTTAAAGAAAAAGTTATGAGAGTGCTGACTACCATATTCGTGAGAGGGGGAGAAAAAAGACTTTAGGGTTATTACCAAATGTTAATTGTGTTGATTACTGAGTGTTCATATTTTCTAGATTTTCTTCAATAAATATGTATTACTTTTTAAAGAATTATTATTTCTTAAAGAAGAATACAAGTTTAAGAGAAAGATTATTTTGGTGTTGGTTTAGTCACTAGTTCATTTATTCCTCAAATATTTATTGTAGTGCCTACAATATGCTGAGTACAATGTGCCAAACACAATCCTAGCTAGATGCTTGAGATAGGAAAAATGAAAAGACAGCTGTCTTTCAGAAGTGTTCAGTCTAGCAGGCACACAGATGTACAAACAAATAACTTCAGTGTAATATGACATAGAAAACATGTTCGAAGTATAGTCAGTAGTTTGGGGAAAGCCTTGTAGATGTTTGTTTGAATCTGGGAAGACATAACATTAAAGGTATTGTTTGAGTTAAGCCTTGAAATCTGCTAGGTTGACAGATAAGCTGAAAGAAGACACTTCAGTAGAGGAAGCAGGTAGTGGTAGAACATCCAAATGCAAACATCCAACTTTGGTTAGAATCAGGAGTCATCTGAGCAATGGTGATACTTGAAGTCTTGAAGAAGGTGAATGAGACCTCTAAAGCAGAATAATTTGAAGAAAGCCTTTTTAAGACATAAACTAAAAAAAAAAAAACAGTTACTGTCAAGTCGATTCCAACTCATGACGACCCCATGTGTGTCAGAGTAGAACTCTGCTCCATGGGATTTTCAATGGCTATGATCTTTTGGAGGTAGATCACCAGGCCTTTCTTCTAAGGTGCCTCTGAGTGGATTCAGACCACCAACCTTTCAGTTAGTAGTCAAGCTCTTAAATCATTTGCTCCACCCAAAACTCTTTTTAAGGCATAGGAGAAGGAAAAAGATGTCAGCGAAAGACCTAGAGAAGTGGGAAGAGTCAGAATATTATAATATGGAAGCCCAGGAAAGCAGAGATGTGACTAGTCAGTGGTATCTACCGCTGTGGAGAGAGATAACTCCTTCATGATGTATTTCTTTCCAGTCTCTGTTCTTTGTGTTGTTGTCATTATTGTGTAAAATTATTCCATAGTTTTTATAAAGTTACATGTCCTGCCTTTTCAGTGGTGAACAAACTATGTCTTAATACTTTTTTTTTTTTTTTTTTTAA